TGTTTAATGATTGAAATATTGCCGCGGGTGCTTAATATGGATTGCAAATGGCCAAAACTTGCATTTTGTTCACATAACTTTGTTTTATTCTTTTGAGAGGTGATCTAAATATTTACAGCTGTGAAACAGATGGAAAATTGACAGGCTTGTCCTGCAGTTCTATGGATGTTTTGCCCTCCACGTCTTCGAGCCGGTCACGTGACTGAAAGCTATGAATACATTGTATGGGTCAAAATTATCCATTTTTCTTTTATGCCAAAAATTATTAGGATATTAAGTAAAGATCATGTTCCATGAAGATATTTTGTAAATTTCCTACTGTAAATATATCAAAACTTAATTTTTGATTGGTAATATGCATTGCTAAGAACTTAATTTGGACCACTTCAAAGGCGATTTACTCAATATTTTTATTTATTCATCCTCAGATTACAGATCCTCAAATAGTTGTATCTCGACCAAATATTGTCCTATCCTAACAAACCATACATCAATGGAAAGCTTATTTATTCAGTTTCTATGACTGGTTTTGTGGTCCAGGGACAGTTAAAATCACTTTTAACATTCACTAATTTATTTAATTTGTCCACTAACAACGTATATGAATAAAATATCATTTAAACGTTTGGTGTTGGTAAGATTTCTTAATGATTTTAAAATAAGCGACCATAAAAGACTAATTTACAAAATATGTAAAAAAAAAAACTTTCCGACCTTAATCTAAGGCTGTGTTTGATCAAAAATACAGTAAAAACTGTGAAATATTATTACAATTCATAATAACGGCTTTCTATTTTAATCTGTTTCAAAATGTTAATTATTTCATGATGGCAAAGCTGAATTTTCAACATCCAGTCTTTAGGTTCACTGTCTGTGACTCCACAGTTACTAAAACTCTTCTAACATGATATTTCTGTTACAGATTTATATAAACCTGCCGTTTCACACCGGGATCTAAACAGCCGTAATGTTCTGGTGAAGAACGACGGCACGTGTGTGATCAGTGACTTTGGCCTGTCCATGAAACTGACGGGAAATCGCCTCGTACGGCCTGGTGAAGAGGAAAACGCCGCCATCAGTGAGGTCAGCCCATAAGCACTCGCTTGACTGGAATATTATAACAGTATATCATTGTTAGTGCACATGACCCAGTCATGGTCATGTTGGTAGTTGGAAGTGTCCAGAATTGCTGATCCAGACCCACCAAAAGAGCACTTTCCCCTCACACCTGTACTGCTCTGCTGTCTAGGTGGGCACAATCCGCTACATGGCGCCGGAAGTGCTGGAGGGAGCAGTGAACCTCAGGGACTGCGAGTCGGCTTTGAAACAGGTGGACATGTACGCCATCGGCCTTATCTACTGGGAGACCTTCATGAGATGCACTGACCTTTTTCCAGGTGAGGACCACAGCTCTCTACAAACAACAGCAAGGATGTGGATATACTGCTGGCTAAGCAGAACTGGCTGTAGCATGTAAAGTCAGCTAGTTTCAGTGGTGTTAAAATTAGGTTAAGACAAAGTCATTATCTTAACTTTTTTTTTATTTTTTTATTTTTTATAAGAATGTCTGAAAAAGATACTAAGCCCTTTTTAATTTCTTTTTAATATTTTATTTAAAAAATATAATAATATAAAAAAATATAGTCATATTTAAAAAAATAATAAAACGTTTGTAGATAGTGCTTTGTCTTGTTTTAAGCATACAGTATGATGGCTAAGAGGAATTTTACATGATCCTTCAGAAATCATTTTAATATGCTGATTTGCTGCTCATGAAACATT